GGGGCGACGCCTGAACCAAGAAGGCTCGCGCCGCCCCCGCGACCTCTGCCACGGCCCCGGCTACCTCGACCCCAGGTGGTACCGGTACCTTCGAGATTATACAGCTAGTTACGTTTAAACGTGACGAGATTTCGAAGAATACCGATATTTTGCATGGGCTTGATGCGCAACGACGCGCAATGATGTGCAATATAATACTAAACTCACGATTTACCCAAAAGCAAAGAGACCATGTTTACAGCGAAAGATTAATTTAAGTTCGTACGTAAAGTAGTACGTTGCGCAGGTAGTATGTTTTGTGAAACTTTTGTGAATATGTACAGAGTGTGTTTCAGCGTTCGATACGTACATGATCTGTACTACATTTCTATTTACATTCGCGAAAGGGTGATTTTCGTAGATAAAGTATCTCGGAATTAGGTTCTGGATGTTTATACAAATGCGTACTTTTACAGGAAATTGTTTGATCGATGATTTCGTAACATAGTATTTTGCTCGAAGATAAGAATACTTCGAAGAATTCCTTTTCGTATGTGATTAGTAAACACGAAGAATTGAATACTATGTTACATTTTCCTAAATTTTATCAGTGTTACCAATACTTAAGAGCTTAAATTAGATACGAATATAAATATTAGTATAAAATGATAGTAAGAAGGTACTGTACTTTATATTCGTAGCGTTATAATAAACTTTCTTGTTATACCTATATATATTTCGCAAACTGTAACAAGACAGAACAAGAAATGACATTTCTCGAGCTTTCACGTATTTAGAAGCATTGTTCGGCAAAAAGGTGTGGTTCGTACTTTTGCTGCGCGTAGTCAACGTACCCTGCTATTATTCTGGTTGGTAGTTTTCTTGATCCTGGCTGTTTAGCTTATTTCCCTCCATTTATCACGCTTAGCCTGAACTCGAAGCACATTTCTGTTTGCTACCTTACACGCAACAACAGTCGGATAAGGGTAGTTTCAAGGAAGGAAGCCAGAGATCATGTAGTTTCGAGACACTGACGTAACTTCTATCAAAACCTCTGTACAGAAACACGCTGCTACTCTCTAGATCTCTAGACATAAAGCAACATAGAGATTAGAGCGAGACGCATTGAAACGACAACATTCTTGACAAGATATATACGTTTTGGGTAAATCACAGGCGAAAGTCACGTCCGCGTCGCATGAAACTTGCTGAATTTTTAACGAGAACATGGGAACGGCATTAAAAATATGAGATTCAGCTTCAGTTGAAGAATTTCATGAAACAGGCGTTAAAACATTCATGAGAATGAAAAAGTTCAATTAACGCGAATCCGAGAGTTATCGATCTGCCTCGTGCCCTGTGGACGTTTTTCTATTCCTGTTTACGGCTTCAAGTGCGGTTAATATATATATAAAATGTTTCCACTGGCCGTAATGGTTTTATTTAGTTTGATAAAATATTTTCTGCTTAGCTTCTTTTAGCATCGTTCTTGATCGAAATTCACAAAGGTGGATTTCGTAAAGTTGAATTTATGAATTACAATTTCTATCAAAATATGGAAGTGCTGTTTGTAATTAAAGTCACGCTGAACATCTTGGATGCTTGCCAATTAATTATAAAATATAAAAACAAAATATGTTATATAGGATACAAAAGAGAATTCTTAAAAAAAATTGATTACAATTTGCATAAAAATGGCGTTAAATGTAATGCTATTGTATCTAAAGTTTGATGAAGATTTTGGATGTTTGTAAATGAATTATTACTAGTAATTCAGAATTACATATTTCATATTCCTTAATTACGAATTATTGTTAACAATACGTATTCAAATGAAGTTGTATTAATTATGTTGAATGCATAATATCCGACGATAAACTACCTTGAACAACGATTAACGTTCTAATTTCATTATTCCTTTGAGAAGATTCATTGAGAGATTTCTATCAAATAATGCATTCCAAAATTGGCATAAATTGACCATAATGTTCATACCAGTGTGCATCTGTCTGCATAACTCAGAGTGACGTGTAATAAACATAATAAGCGTGCCTACTTGTGTAAGCGACCGTTTTGTAATAAACTTTAAATGATTAGAAACGGTAGCTATAGAAACAAATTATGTGCTTGAATGATAACAGTAGATGAAACACATTCATACATTAAATAAGCTGTAATTGTGTTCCGGAATTAAGCGGTGGTGCCACAGTAGTAATAATGTTAACTGACTTTGAAACGAGGTATTACTAGAATAGTACAGGGCAATGGTAATTAGTTCTTTAATTAGTTAAATTGCTTAATTGAAAGGCAATTATTCCACGTAACTGTGTTTAAACTAATTAACGAAATCAATTGTCCATCACTGAAAACAAGATATTAAATTAATCATTAACTATCAGCTATTAGTTTCAGATTGAAATACAGTGATTTCTATATTTATGCAAATGAACTATCTATTTTCTTAAAGAAAGAGATACGAGATGTTATTGTCTCAATTTGCATGGATTTATAACTGAACTATTTAGTTCGAACTCTGTTAAAATAAATAAAATAAAAAAAGAATCAATTTATATAATAAGTAAGTAAAGTAAATAAGTAAAGAGAGTTTGTGATAATTTATCACTAATTTAGGTACTGAATATTACCTATAATTTGATCAAGTAAATGCTCTAATCACGATCAGGTATGTTTGCCATAAGTCGAATATGGACAAAGAGAATGACCATGATGGCCTAGATACTCTGTGACGTGGAATAAGATGTTTAGGCTGTATCTGAGAATGACGTACATCACTGCATACGATGGATATTACATTTACTACCTGATATAAGCTATTATATTAATGATTTATAATTTATTAGAATAAATACTTCGATAATATTATTGAAAAACACAACAACCATTGCGTAATTATGATTTGATATGAACAAACTGCAATATGCAAACCTATAATTTTGTATTTCACTTAGTAGATCGTGGATATTCGTTATAAAAGCAAAGACTGACATTTATATCGATATTTTGAAAATAATATTATTACTGTATTATTAATTTTACTGTAGGTTAAGTATATATACCTTTCAAATAGCTTTGTATACTCCGTAATACTGGTTATATTGAATATAAGATGAAACTGAGCATAGAATTAATCTGCTAGTTTTATCAATATTTATTAAAATAATAATTTGGAATATTATGTCGGATGAGTGTAGGAAGTAATATTGTATTCTAGAAGCTTTTATGCAAGGCAAATTTTCTGTGTAAAGTTTGATCCTAACGGGTGAAATTTACTGAAAGGTTGAATAAAGCACTAAGCCTTTACAAGCGAAGACAAGTCTAACACATTTAACCTGGCACGCTAGATAAGATTGAGAACAGTCAACTAGGTGTCTTTCCTTATTCACTATGTATATGGTCTGATCAATACGATAACGTTATAATAACTATCTTCAATTTTTTAACCGACAATTTTTATTTACAGTATCAATAAAAATATGAAACATAACAATTATACGGGTTTATGTAATTTTCTGAAACAGTTTTTTGACTTTCTATCAAATTTATTCAATACAAAACTATTAAAAGAGCTATTAAAAGAGCACGTAAACATCAATGTATAAAGCATATAAAATATACAGATCATAAAGTAAAATATAAAACGTTATTTGTAGCCACCTTTTGTGTATTTCGATCAGCATATAAATCCAATGTTCTCGTTTTTGATTAAAACGATAGGAATTATATTCCAAAGATTTAATATTGCGTCTGTCTAAGTACATCCGTTAAATAATAGCCTCAAATATTTGTATTAAAATACGTAAAAGGTATATTCTTACATAACATTGCATTCAATTATTTTCAAAGTTGACAAAGCATTTGCGATTATCCTTTTTATCATGAGAAATGATATTTTTGATTATCGAATAATATTGAAAATGAATTTTGATGAATTTTCAAATGAGAATGAAATTCTATGTTTCGAAGCAAATCGTGATATTTTTATTAGAACAATAATCTACTAGTCATTTAAATGCCTATATTAATAACATGTATCTAAATCTATCAAATAGATGCAATAGTGCTATAAAACATTTTTATTCCTTTCAATAATATATCTGTTGTATCTTTTACAGTAAATACTTTGCCGATCTACACTATCCTAGGAAATTCCTCAATTATTCTATAATTATATATCCTCTATTATATTCTTTTTTAATATTTCGTAATTTCCCCGATTCTATTAGAACATCTTTTTAATTAATTGCTGCAGAAAAAGTTTCATTACTTACGTGAAATTTTCTATCGTTTCCCCTTATTTCTAGTTCAAGTACAACTGACAATTAAAAGTTTCAATTATTTTACGAAATTACATTCAACATATCATATGAAATTTTAATATAATAATTAGTATTTCGATTTAACTTATTTTGCAATGTTGCTACAAATATAATCACTAATACTTGTATATCAATTAATAATATTTATATTTACAAATAAGCAAATTGAATTTAATTATAAGAACTTGCTTATACTTCGGTACAATATGCTAAACATAGAAAATAATAAAAGATAACTAATTATTTTCCATCAAAAAAATAATAAAATCTGACTTGAAGCTATGCAAGTTATAAACGGATTACGGTATTAATTCTCACGTTTCATTGGAAGAATCAGAAAAATATAGAAAATATCACACTGTAGATAATTGCTCGAATAAAAATTCGTGAAGATAACATTTATCTTTTTCGGGTTGAAGAAGATACCTTGACGCTTTTTATAGGAGGGGAGCCCCACCACAGAGCCACAACCCCCCGCACTCCCCGCGACAGAGGAGCTGATGGTGGCAAGACAGGGAGCTCCCCGACCGCCACCTCCGCGTCGTTCCAAGTCACGGCGTCTGCACCCACCTCCGCCCC